GACCCAGGACAGAGGACCCAGGACAGAGGACCCAGGACAGAGGACCAAGGACTCAGAACAGAGGATCAAGGAGCAAGGATAGGACTGATGACTGACAACTAGGGATCAAAGACAGTGGATGAAAGCAAGCCTTGAATGACGAACTTTCAGAAGTTGAATTATAGATATATTAAGGTATATGAGATATTACCGGCAGCAGAGATGGCACAGTCCACCCTGCCCCGAGGGTTTTTTCCGGGTACTCTGCTTTCCCTCACTCCTGAAAAACCAATAATCTTAAATACCAACTAAAAAAATTGGCCACACATTACTGTGGGCCAACTGAGATGAAAAAGTCTTTGATTACTCAAGGTAAACATTTGTAATACCAATTTATTACTCTCTGCTCGTTTTCTAGTTACATGTGCACATGTGGTTTCGCAGTCTCCCTTGCAGCTGTTACTTTAGTTAATTAGCAAATTGAGAAGAAGCTTTATTTATTTTCTGACTTTTTCAAACATCTCTTTTTTAAACATAGGTAAAGGGAAATTCTCGAGTCAACCAATCAATCAATCAATCAACCAATAATTTAATCAATCAAAAANGGACAGAGGACCCAGGACAGAGGACCCAGGACAGAGGACCCAGGACAGAGGACCCAGGACAGAGGACCGATAGGACTGTGGATGAAAGTAAGCCTTGAAGACGAACTTTCAGAAGTTGAGTTATAGATATATTAAGGTATATGAGATATTACCGGCAGCAGAGATGGCACAGTCCACCCTGCCACGAGGGTTTTTTCCGGGTACTCTGCTTTCCCTCACTCCTGAAAAACCAATAATTTCAAATTCCAACTAAAAAAATTGGCCACACATTACTGTGGGCCAACTGAGATGAAAAAGCCTTTGATTACTCAAGGTAAACATTTGTAATACCAATTTATTACTCTCTGCTCATTTTCTAGTTACATGTGCACATGTGGTTTCGCAGTCTCCCTTGCAGCTGTTATTTTAGTTAATTAGCAAATTGGGAAGAAGCTTTATTTATTTTCTGACTTTTTCAAACATCTCTTTTTTAAACATAGGTAAAGGGAAATTCTCGAGTCAACCAATCAATCAATCAATCAACCAATAATTTAATCAATCAAAAAATCACTCAATAACGCAATTAATAGTTAAGATAAAAAGCCCAGGATATGCAGCTAACTAAAATAGCAATTACCAACCTTTAAATT